CCTTCACATATTCTAATTCCCTCACAGACATTTCAACGAACAAAACGCCATCTCATATCATTTTGTTAATAAATCTCAAATAAACGTTCATTTTGAGTAAATTTATATTTTGATCATTTACGCTCGATTGTGAGTAAATTACATTTTGAGTTTTTTTTTTAATTTCTTATATGATGAATAATAGATTCTTTATTGTCTTGGTGTCTTTTATTTTTAAAACAATTTTTTCATACTTTTATATTGCATGGATCTACAAATAAAAACAAAAAGTGTAACACCCCAACCCGTATCCGACCCAAATACGAGTCTGAGATGTCACATTGACCTTTTAAAACACTTTTCCTTACAAAATAACAAAATATTTGAACTTATTTTAAGAAAATACGATAATATACTATTAAATTATGTTCGGTATAAAATTTTGGGGCAAAAACATATTTATGAATATAACTATACGGTATGAACATTACCGTGAACATTAAGAGCAATACAATTAACATTACCCTGCTACAGTACTAAATGTTAAAATTTCCATATTGTTAACAGGGAACCGATTCCCCTGCTACAGGGAATCGATACCCCTGCTACAGTACTGCCACAGTACTTCTGTGAAACATACATAAACTCTTAAAATTTAACCTTTCATCGTTATACAAAACTACCCTTTACATATATACTTTTAAAACATTTGAAAAGTAGATCAGAGTGTTCATACTAAAACATTTATTACATGCCAACATACTACACAAATCGAAATACATACTTTATCAATTACTTCTGATATGATCTTCTAGCAGTGTTGTTGTTCTTGCCACTTCTATTTCTGCTATTCTTGGTTCTTGGTACCTACGTGTAAATCACTTACACGCTAAGTCATAGACTTAGTGAGGCATAAAATAAAATATATATATCAATGCATTCATGAAACATACACTCTTACCATTCAATCATGACATTACAACTTGCATGTATGTATTACGCTATACAATATATAATCATGTCATGCACATATGAACTTACCTTCTTATGCACTTTCACTTTAATTTAACTTTCAATTGCCCATGTACATTATTGAGAACAAAATGAACTTGAGTACACTGAGGTTGTGCACATATGCTGTCACCACAGCTCGTATAAATTCCCACTAGGGGCACTGAATATTTGTCCCGAAGGACCACTATGTCCCGAATGACCACTGTATATGTCCCGAATAACCACTATGTCCCGAAATACCACTCCTTAAGAACCATATACATAATACAATGGACCAAATAAGTGTATCAAAGTACCACATATATGTTCCACAGAATTACATATATGTCCTGAAGGACCACGTAGAACTCTCGACTCTTGGCATGCTAATTATACCTATAGATCTCATATTAAATCACATGGGCTTAAATATGAATACATTTCTCATTTTTCATATATTTTTCAACACTTTTCATATAAACATATATTTCGCTTCACATGTACACATATGATCACTTTCATTATTTCACATACCTGGATTGATTCTCTGACAATTTCATTATTTCATATAATATCATATTAAAGGATAAATGAATTATGCATGAAATTATTGTATCCAATATATATATGTGGATGCATGTACATGAATATGAAATCATGAATTCAACTATAAGATATAAACTTATCACAAATCTTGTCTCTATAAAACTTTATCTAAAATATGCACTCACCTTAGCCTTGCTGGATTTGAACCAATTCTAGAACTTATCTCTTTATCAATCGTTTATAATCCCTCGATCGTTCTTACTTGTCACTCTGGAACTCGTTTAGGCTCGATATCTACATAAACATAATTTCTGAGACAATTATCAAAAGCCTAAACCTTATAACTTGATACTAATAGCTTAAACGAATTTAATGAACCAAACTTTAACTTTTCCTTTAGGGGGTAGGGTATCGATACCCTTATTACGTTTTGAAATTTTTCACCCGAAAATTCATCAACTCATCACTGAATTTCCTCATACAAAACTCCTTTCATACCACTAAATTCAACTACAACCATTTTAACTAACTTTTATCATTCACACATTTATTATCTCCAATACTTCATTCAAATTCTTAAAACTAATAATCATACCAAATTTTTCATGTTATCCAAACTTATTTCTAACACTTATAACTTATTATTCACACCTATGAAAAGTCAAATTCAACTTCTAAATTTACTTATTAACTTTCAGAAACTCACTTTGAAACACATTCTCTTTAATCTTTCATAACTCAAAACTCTTTGAGTTTCTAAGTCCCTTTTTCCTTCCATCATGTTTCCTAAAGCTTCATGAATCAAAACCATGCTTGAATTTGAAGAATTAACCAAAATAAATCAAACTTACCTTGAGCTTGAAGTGCTTCACGTTTGGGAGAAGAAGAAGATGAAGAAAGAAGGAAGAAGAAATGAGAGAAATCTGGAAACATTTGTTTCCTACATAAACCCCACGTAGGTTATAAGATAACCCCATTTAATATTTTATTCACTCCCTTGTTCAATGACCATTTTACCCTTTTACTCTTCCTTCATTTGCTAATTAATCCTACACCAACATCTTTCAATTAATTCCTTAACTTTTTCAATTTATTTAATTTGGTCATTGGATTTAAAAATCTTACACTTAAATCACTAACTCGGTATTGAGTATGTTACAAAAAGAATATTTTATATTTGAATCAATACATTTACTCCTCAAGAAGGAAATGGTATGTTAATGTCAATGACCATACAACGATTATTATGATGATAAAAACATAGTATATGTTAGATATATTTTCAATAATTTAACAATCAACATTTAATATTTTTATAGACGTCGTACATAAATTTAGAACCTCTAGAGATAATAATTATCCTTTTAACCACTGAGATTGTTTGATTCATGTTGGTTGGAGTCATTTGTATTTCTAAAAAATTTCGTTTGTTTAAAAAACTAATTAAATTTATTAAAAATAATTATATTGTAAAAAACTATAAACATTTACCATTTAAAAAATTAAGAACTTTGAATTATCTAATTGAAAATTATTAATTATTTGTGAATGCTTAAATAGTTTATTTTATTAATACAAAAATAGTTATTTATTCATTTAAAAAGTAATTATTTAGTAATATAAAAACAATTTATTATTATATATATGGTTAGGATCTATCTACATAATGTAAACTTATTTTAGTTTTATATAGATTTAATATCGTTGGATAAGTGAAAATAAATATTAAGATTAACTCCTTATTTTTTTTCCAGTGAATATCTTCTCATCTACTAATGTTAATCTTGATCCTCTATTTTCACTCATCCAACGATCATAAATATGTGTAAAACTAAAAAGTTGTACATTATATTATTGTGTAAGTAGATCATAACCATTTTAATATAGTTTAAGTGTATTTTTAAATTAAAATAATATCATTAAATTAAATGACACACAATTAAAATAAATGTTTTAAAAATCGAAAGAAATAATTAAATTACAATTCTTCTTTATTTTAGATGTCTATTTTTTCAGTCAAAATAATAGTTTAGCTTTTCCAAAATTACAAGTTAATGAATCTTCTATTAAAAAAATTTATTATTCAATCAATGTTTGACACCTAATATGTTGTTTAATTTTTTTTAATTAAAATAACATTTTACATTCTTAAAATTTTCAAAATCTCTAAATTTTCTAAATCTATAACTTTAAATGCCTAAATCTATAACGTTGAGGTGAGTACTCAAATGAACGATGATTTTCCCAAAAAAATCACCCTAATCCCTTTTATTTTCCTATCAGGCACCGTTTAGATTATATTTTTTAATTTAACACCTTTTACAAAAAGGAGCTCATACACGGGAGAAAATGATAAGACAAAACGGTTTTTGTGAAGCTTGAGTAGAAAAGATCAACTCTTTGATCAGATGTTTATTCGTGGTACAATTGAGTTGATATTTAGATAGCAGTTAGACAACTTTGAGTTATTGACTTTGTACGATCAAATTTTCATTCGATTCATGTTACTTTTCACACCTATGACCGTTTAACAATCATAAACTTGATTAAAATAAACTTTTAATTACAATTGAGGGATCAAATAAATTATTATTTATTATTTTTTAACAACAGTTAATAATGTTTATTTATTTTTAATAAAATTAAAATTTAATATTTATTTTAAATTTTTTAAAATTAATATTAGAAAGAATATTTTTAAAAAAGAGGTGATATTTTTTAGCTTTACATTATATTTTTATTGAATTTTATTCTTTTTTATTTTTTATTCAAATTTTATTTATTTTTTAAAAAACGAATAATAATTCATTTGTTATCTAATTAAAGGTTTATTTTAATATTATAATATTTTTAAATATTTAATTTTAAAAGACAATAAATATTATTAACTTGGTTAAAAATAATATCAAAAAATTATCAGATCAAATTTAATAAAACAAATACTAAGAAAGAAAAGAAGAAGAAAAACTGGGAATTGATTAAAAGAAAGTTCTATAAAAGTTAAAGGCTGCTCCTAAACCACTGAATTTGCATAACTAAAACGTGTCAGTCAAAATATGAATACAAGTTGTGTGTAAAAAGTACCTGATCAATTGTGTTAATCTTTAATATACGACTCATTTGTGGAGGCAATTCATTACTAGAGATGTACCACATGCATTTTGTTCTGGAGCAAAATCAACTGCATGACTTTCCTTTTTGTATTATCTAAATAAATTCTGCTAAATATTGTTGTCGTGTAATAAAATATCACTCCCCCCATCTGTTTCCGAGAACTGCAGGCATAATAATTGTTTATCTTCCTACATTGAATCTTAAGAAGAGGATTTCAAAATAGAATTCTTTTCAAATATGCGTGTCTATTTTTCTTTGTATCGTAATCAAATCTTATATTTTAATTATGGTCTGCCCTGGTCCCTTGTTTATTGTTTTACTGACTGTTAACGCTTATTGACTGGCACCTGACAATGTGTATTTAATATTTTCAGGGGAATGTGCTTCATAAGCAAGGGAAGTTCAATAACGCCTCTGAGAAATATTTGCTTGTAAGGCAGTAATCTTATCCTTAGTCTTTTTCCAATTATGGGAACATTTTTTCTGTTTATTTTAAAATTTAATTTATTGTATTTTATTTGTATTTTTTTTCCGCATATTAATTAAAACCCTATTTGCCTTCTTCACAATCTCAGGCAAAGAAAAACCTTAAAGGACTTCCATCTGCGAAAGGAAAAACACTTCTACTGGCATGCTCTCTTAATCTCATGTCATGTTATTTGAAAACAAGGAAATATGATGAGTGTATAGAAGAAGGCTCTGAGGTATACTTCTCCTTTTATTATCATTCATATGGTACTATAGCTTTTGTCATAAGTCAAACCCACAAGTTGTCCCCCATCCCAAGATAATGGCATAAAATTATTTAATACCTACAGACTAGGCTGCTAATCATTAAACAAATAGATTAATAGTTCTCTAATTAGCATTTCGTTCTTTGTGATCTTCTATCTTCTATCTGGTTAAAATAATTATGTTTTTATTTACAGGTTTTGTCTTATGATGCAAAGAATGTTAAAGCTCTTTACCGAAGAGGTCAAGCATATAAAGAACTCAGCCAATTAGAAGTGAGTTCTTTGTGCATATGGATTTTGTCAATGGCTGCTGAATTGCATTTCTAGTACATTTTCAAATTTGGGAATACCCTCTTATGTTTTTGCTTTTGCTGATTAACCTTTTCTGAAATTATTAGGATGCCGTCTCAGACTTGAGAAAAGCAAACGAAGTTTCACCTGATGATGAAACAATCGCCAATGTCTTGAGGTATTAACACTTTTGAATTAAGATTTTGGAAACAGATCGTAAGTTTTCGTCTGCTGCATTCATTTATAAAGTTGGTTTATGCACCAATATCAGCCCATCATGACCATTGTTGGTTAGGATATGATAGAATATAGATGCATTGAGTTCGATTTTCTTTACTTTTGAAAAACAAAAAGCACTTGCGTTAAGATTCACCTGGTATGCTGCTTAGTATTAAATATTATTCATAAAAATTGATGAGAATGCACTAGTTGTTGAATGCTTTGTGGTGGTCAGTGATATCAACTTTCAATGCAGGGATGCTGAGGAAAGATTGGCTAGAGAAGGCAGTCATCAAGCACCTCGGGGTATGTTTCTCGCCCTCTATTTTGCATTTTCCTGTGGGGCTACTCGCTTTCTCTCTTTATTTCTCTTTGAAGTTTACATTTCTGTTTCTCCTTATTTTTCAGGAGTGGTAATTGAAGAAATAATTGAAGAAGCTGCAAGCATCTCTTCTTCTAATCTTCAAAGTCCATCTACTGAACCTTCGTTGAAACAACCACGAGAAAGTACTGGATTCTCTAAGAGTGAGAGTGTGAAAAATGTTGGGGACTTGAGAACCAATTCCGAGTGTCTGCAGGCTCTGAAGGAGGATCCAGAGTCGGTCAGGTTTGTTTCCATTATCACAAAACCTGATAAGTGATCTTCATTTGCTGAGTCTGGTAATATGGTATTCTGAGTCTGACTACTGATTGGATTATGCCCAAATATATAAGAATGGCAATGGGATTTCTCTCTCTTAGTTTCTCCTTGTTTCGACTCTGAATTCTAAGTAGCATTAATTTATAGTAATCGCATGATAGTTATGCTCATAATTCCAATTCCCTTTATTGTCCATACATGGTGAATAGACAATAGTATGAACATAAAATGGTTATTGCTGCTAGAAGCAAAACTTGGAAGATTCAAAGGAAACAAGCGTGGCATGTTTCACCCACATATCCAAACTCACTTCTCAACTCTTTTCTCCCTTACCTTTCCAAATGAAACTTCATGTTCTGTACTTTTGCAACCTTTTTGTGCTCTGTTATTAATTAGTTTAGAGGGTCTTAAAATTTTCAGTTCTCTTTTTTCCCAATTTTGATTAGCAGGTCATTTCAAAATTTCATTTCTAGTGCCGATCCTGACACCCTTTCTGCTATGAGTGGTGGTAAAGTTGGAGAGGTGTCACCAGACATGTTAAAGACTGCTTCAAATATGATCAGCAAGATGTCACCTGAAGAGCTACAAAGAATGGTTCAATTGGCTTCTTCATTTCATACAGAAAACCCATATACAGGTGGATTTAGATCTGGTTCCGCTCCTTCAAATGTGACACCTGACATGCTTAAAACTGCAACTGATATGATGACCAAGATTCCTCCAGAAGAGCTTCAGAAAATGTTTGAAATGGCAGCTTCTTTGAAAGGGAAAGAATCTATTCCGACAGCAACAGCTGTAAACAATAACAGGCTAGATTCAGATGCTGAAGTTAAATATCCCGAATCTCAGGCAGCATCTCTCACCAATGTTAATAGTGGTTTTGGTGAAACCGGGCCTTCTAGTTCTAGTTGTTTTCCGAATTCAAGGAGTGCTGAGTCAAGTTTTCCAACATCAACTGCTGATATACAAGAACAGATGAGAAACCAAATGAAAGATCCAGCTATGCGGCAGGTATGGCAAATATATTTTACAATTATGTCTTTGTTTTGTCTTTTTCTATTTTTCTAGAATAATTTCTTTTTTACTTTTTAATGTTTAAACTTAAATAGGCAATAGCTGATAGAATCAATTGCAATAGTTTCTTCATAAATAAATCTTGCATTACCCCTAGGCCGTGTCCGTTAATGTTTACTTTTGAACTGAGCAGATGTTCGCATCAATGATGAAAAACATGAGTCCAGACATGATGGCAAACATGGGCGAACAATTTGGATTGAAGCTTTCTCGGGAAGATGCTGCAAAAGCTCAACAAGCTATGTCATCTTTATCACCCGAGGACTTGGATAAAATGGTACATTTATTAAACTGCTTTTACATTTCATTTCTGTTTAGGACTTGGTAATGTATAAATGATAGAAAATTCATCATCATGTTGCTTTAAGCAGAAGTCTAATGGGTCTGAAATGTTCCATTGATTGAACTGTTGTTGATGTTTTGCTGAAATATTCTCCCCAAGGGTTCACATCCACACTTAGGTCCAGCACTTTACCCTTTCAAATCCGTACAAAAACGTTAATGTTTTGAACATACTTGTGTTGAACACATATTTTCCAGCACCAAGACCTAAGTCCGAGTAATATATGGTAGTAGTCCCTAGTAATTGCCTTTCTTTTTGACCACTCATCACCATCATCATCTTCTGTGCTAAGATAATTGATTTAGACGATTATGGTGGATTTTTCTGTCCTCTCATGTTAACATCTTTTCCATGAAACACTAACTTTTTCCGTTGGTAAATTGTGGCAGATGCGCTGGATGGATAGGATCCAGAGAGGAGCCGAAGGTGCGAAGAAAGCAAAGAACTGGTTGCTAGGGAAACCTGGTATGATTCTGGCAATATGCATGCTCATCTTGGCGGTGATTCTTCACAGGTTGGGTTTCATTGGTAGTTAGAAACAGAACCGATTTTCATTTCGTTCGTAACGGACCCCGGAAATTCTACTTCTAATCAAGTTAGTGTTGGAAACTGGCTTGCTTCTTTGGTTGCAAGTAGACTTGGGCAATTCATGTTTCGTCGCGTGTTTATGGTTTTTCTTTCTCGTGTCATAATCGTGTTTAAGATATATATTTATACAAATTTTGATACTTTAATAATTTGTATTATGTAGATTTTAACACGATCTTGTGTTCATATCGTGTTTTAGTAACTTTTCGTCTAGTGTTCGAAATTGTCGGGTTTAGTTGTTAGATGGTAAGAGTCATTTCAAGCAATATGCTATCTGAGTTAGGATCCACCAATCCATTATTTTTTTAATCAAGCAATACATTTATCATTACTATTCCTATGCTTATGGATAGGTTGATCATTGAAGTTAATTTATCTTAGCAGATGTTTTAGAGGCATTAATAGTTGGGTTAAATATATATTCTCCAAAATTATCAGTTTATTTTCATTTTGGTATCTAAAGTTGCAAATTGTTGTATCAGTTAATGTTAACTTTTACAGATTTGGCGGTTTTAACATGTGTGATTTGGCATTTTCCCTATATGTTATAATCTCATTTATGGTTGAATTATAATGTCATTATTGAGGATGGGTATAGGTCGAGTTGAGTTGGATTTTTAATCGATCAGAACTCAATTCGAGAATTCTATTTGCCATCTAGCCTGACTCATGTTTAAGGAGGTTCTATCCGACGAAGAAATTTAACACAACTTTTTAGATAAAATTTTGTACTTATTTTGATTCAATCATATATATATATATATATATATATATATATATATATATATATATATATTTTTTATTAGGTTCGATCTAAATATATGGGATAATTAAGTTATTTTCTTGGGTCATATATGTTTCTGTCATGCACGAGAGAGAAGGCAGAGAAGAAGAAGTTAGACTCGAAGAAAGTAATTTGGGAATTACTAAGAAAGGGTTAGGGATTGAGAGTAAATCAATTGGGAAATTTAGGGATTGGATGAAAGAGGAGAGTGTACGTAGGAAGCAAGTGATTATTAAAACAATAGATATAAAAAGGGAAGTCCATTACCTATCCAACAAGAACAGGCATGCAATCCAGCCAACAGCCCAAATGAGGAAAATATTTAGTTCTTATCTGTAGGGAATATGTTAGAAGTTAGTTATACAGCTGTCACTTTCACAATTGCCATAGTACATTGTAATGCAAATAAAATCGTGTACTGGGGAAGAAAGAAATCACCTGATGAATGAATGAAATTCTGATTTCTGAAATCTCTATGCTTTTCTTCTTCTAAAACCTTTATTCCTTCGATTTTTCCTTCTCTATTCTCCTCAGTTCATAACAAATTGGTATACAGAGCCATCACTCTTGGCAATCAACGCTTGAGTATGCCAAAAAGAAACCAAACAATGCCAGAAAATCCTGATCTTTCTGCCATACGAAAACAACTTGAAGATTTAACAGCTTTGATGAAGCAATCACAGGATGAAACTAATCCTCCTAAATGGTGGAAAAAGCAGGAAAGCAGATTGAGTACGTTGGAATCTAAACTGGAAACAAATCAAAGATATGTGGAGCAGATCTTACATATTCTGAATGATAAAAAGAGTGAGCAAAAGCAAATTAATGGGGACTGTTTTACTCAACTACAGGAACAACAAATTCATGGGGAGAAAGGAATGGGTCAACTTTCACTGGGTGAGTCTAAACCCATTTTCCTCACTCCTAAAAGGATGTTATCGGTGGCAATAGAAGGCACATATAACGTTTCTCAAATGTTCGATAAAATGTCAGCAAGTGTAGCTAGTGTTGTATTTCCATCTATCACCAGCACCATGAAAGCTAATTCACGGCTGCAACAGAACGTCAGTCTGGTTGGATACACCAAACTGATTTCGCGAGAAAATCGACTGCATCAGAACGTCAGTCTGGTTGGATACACCAAACTAATTTCGCGAGAAAATCAAGAATTGCCTATGTCGGTTCAAGTTGCTACCTTTCAACCATTTGTCGTGGATTTATCCAGACTCTTGGAGGGCGAGACTCAAATGGTTATAAACTCACAAAAACAATTAGTTGATTTTCCTTCAAAGGCAAAGGTGGTTTATTTTCTACAGTGTCAAACAACTGGTAACTCAAATAAGCTGAATTCTATAGTTCAATCCATGCTTAGAGAAATTTATTTCATGATGTTTATGACGACCAATGAACATATTTCGACCCTTGATCCTTATGTGTTTAGACTTTTGTGGATGGGACGGAGTATAATTTATTTGGTTAGGAATTGGAGTGTGAATCAAAGGTTGCACCTTACGCTTTCTATTCTGTTGAAGTTGGGTATACCGAGCATTTTCAGTGGTCTCCTAAAATTATTTCATGACTCCAAGAATGCACTGGGTAGTCTCTGTTTTGGCATAGATTGTTTTCATGCATGGTGCAACTTGAAAGTCAATGGGACTAGGAAGAAACTAAGTAGTCCTAAAGGTCAGGGGAACAACAAATTAAATTTCATCCGTGCATAATCCGAACATTAAAGAGAAAAGGTTTTCTTGTTATTTATATGTCTGTTGGGCATGAACAGATTGTGGTAACTTATTTAGGTGGATATAGGTATATTGTTGGCTATAATTTTGAAAGAATGAGAAGTTCTATCCATCATTCCAAGTCTGAAAGTGGGCCGTTGGGTACAGGCGACAATTCTTTTGTTGCAAAGAAGAATAATGTTGTGAGTTATGAGGTGGAAAAGGGTAAAAGAGTGGACTGCAGAAGCAAGGAAAAGAATGAAAAGGTTGTCTCTGGTCGAGTCACTAGATCAAGAAGTTCTGCTCAACCTTCCATGTCTATGAGTGGGCTTTCAGGTGCAGGCAACACTTCTACTATTTCTAAATAGGATGGTACGGTACCAGCAGAATCCATCTGCAAATCAAGACAACAGCTTGATGTTCATGAGTTATTGGAGTCAAAATTTGTCAGACCTGTTTATAATATTGTATATTGTGGTGTGAAAATTGAAGAAAGAGGACAATGCCGGAGCAAATCAAGGAGTGAAGATGTTTTCACAAGGTCAAGAAGTTATGTTCAATCTCCAAAATTTGAGAATAGTTCAACAGGTGCATAAAAAAGTTCTACTGTTGCAAAGCAGGATAATATTGTGCTAACAGAATCCATTAAAAAAATCAGGACTAGAGCATGTTGTTGTTGTTGAGTTATTGCAATCTGTCAAACTAATTGATGATGATGTAACATGTATGGTAGAAAAGTAAGAAAAAGGTCGATTTCAGAGCAAGGATCATCTGAAGGAGAGGGGAATTTGTAGTGTTGGAAACTATACACGGTATAGTGCAAATATCATGTTAAGTGGGTTGGTGGCAGATAAGAAAATTATGTTTACTCATCTAATGGAATATGAGGGTGTATTACGTTGGACTATTATGGATTCAAAGATATACTATAGGGAGGAAGAATATTCTAGTTGCTATGAAGGATCAACTCTCCTTAGTTGGTATGGAGAAATTATTGACAGAACAATCATTCTCATCAATGCGGTTAATGCTAAAACTTATGAGGTTACTGATGCAGATTATAACAGTCCTCTGTTATTTGGGTACACATCGGTTCGATCAGATTCAGCTGCTGGAGAACTTAGATTGTCTGAATCAATTGAAATTTTTTTCCTTAAACTTCAAATGGTAGAGATGCTTGCTCTTATCGGAAAAGAAATAGAAGGTGGTGAACTAAATATTGTTGAAGTGATTCCAAAAGTTGAAACCCAACAGTGGGTTTGGGGCAAATATAAGAAAGATGTGGGGTGGTCACAATGGAAACTTGGTGAACTACAAATCTTTGAACGATTATTGTTCCAGTTTCAATACTAGTCAGAATTTAATCTTTTGGAGTGCTCTAATCTTGCAGCTGCCAATCCACGACCCATGCTTAGCTATTGGGTTTCTACCTCTTTATTATGTTGGTCTTCGAGTTAGGCAACTTGTTATATTGAAACGGAGAAATGAGAGCCCAAAAGATATAGGGAAGAACAAAGTTTCACAAAACAATCATGGGGTGTTGTATGAAGTGAATGTGAATTTCGATAAATCACCTACTCTGCTATGGTGTTTAGAATTCACAGTGCATAAGGTCCCAGATATATTGCAGAACAAAATTAAACAACATGCTGATAAAAATCGAAGTGAACGACAATTTCAAATTGGAGAAGAAGTATACCTAAGATTGCAATCTTTCTGCCAGAATTTACTCGTACGAAGGATGAACTTGAACTCAAATCACGATACTTGGGAAGCTCATACCAGCCTCATGTCTCGGTTTTCAAGTTTCGATCCTTGAGGACAAGGATCTACTCGTGGAGGGGGTAATGTCATGCACGAGAGAGAAGGCAGAGAAGAAGAAGTTAGACTCGAAGAAAGTAATTTGGGAATTACTAAGGGAGGGTTAGAGATTGAGAGTAAATCAATTGGGAAATTTAGGGATTGGATGAAAGAGGAGAGTGCACGTGGGAAGCAAGTGATTATTAAAACAATAGATATAAAAAGGGAAGTCCATTACCTATGCAGCAAGAACCGGCCTGCAATCCAGCCAACAACCCAAAGGAGGAAAATATTTAGTTCTTATCTGTAGGGAATCTGTTAGAAGTTAGTTATACAACTGTCACTTTCACAATTGCCATAGTACATTGTAATGCAAATAAAACCGTGTACTGGGGAAGAAAGAAATCACCTGATGAATGAATGAAATTCTGATTTATGAAATATCTATGCTTTTCTTCTTCTAAAACCTTTATTCCTTCGATTTTTCCTTCTCTATTCTCCTCAGTTCATAACAGTTTCATCTTAAATCTGAATCTCATTCGAATTTGATTAGAACCAATTTGATATTATAATAAAAAAAACTCAAATTCTATAAAGTTAAACTGAATCAAAATTCATTGCGTTCAGAACTCGTGTCCACTTT